CATTATAACTAAAAAATACAACTGCCTGGTCCTAGGAAAGATTTCTTTTTCTTTCAGATACTAAAAGATATTGTAGAGAAAAGATCTGGACATGCCTTCCCCACTAATGCAAACTGTGTTCATTCACAGCAGATGATGTAGAAAGGTTTTTCCCCACGTACTGAATCTTTTTGTTTGCTTGCGTGTTTAAAATTAAAATCATTTCAAATGTAAATGAACAATGAAACTTAGGGTGCAGCCTCTGCTTTGAAGTTGGTCTATCAAATATTTGACCCTTCTCTGTGGAACAAAACCAACATTGCTTAGTTTACATGCAGTTAGTGGGTATAAGCATGGGAAAAAAATACACAAAATAAGCACAGGTTATAAAGAACTGTAACATTTTATTACCATTAAGACTAAACTGGTATTGAAAAGTTTTTATATAACAAGACAAGAAAAGCAATAGCAAATTTAACTATCAACTAGATTATGCATAGCGAGTAACTGTTTCTAGTACTCAGGGAAGAGCATGACTCCTTTTGTTTTAAATATATTAACCATACAAAGCACAAACATACGAAAAGGATCAGTGCACTGGACATGGGAGAGCTCTCCCTCAGTCATTTTGTTCCCTTAGCTCTGTTTTCCCCAATCTGAATTACATTAAAATAAAGACTCAGGTTTTTTTTTTTCTATTGTGCAGTAAGAAAAAAAAAATATTCACAACAAACATGACAATATATCAAACAATATTTCTACACAAGTTACCTTGATACCTCTTGCCACTTAAGTATCATAAGAAAACATTTTAAGACATATACAAACAAAACTAGCAAAGTGTTACAACTTAGAATAAGTTAACAAAAGAAAAAAATAACTTTATATATATATATATTTATATTATATATACACATACACACACAACAAAATGACACAATAATATGCTTCTTCCCATAGTTTAAGTAAACAAATAAGTAGACTAGCCAAACTAGCAATATTTGATTTTGGCATATGCGTCACATCAGCAATTAAATAAATAAGTGTTTCAAGCAACATAAAGAGTGTTTCGAATGTGCCAACATAGCCCAATTTATATCAGCATGGGCTGGAAAGTGAATCTGAAAATTCTTAACAAATGTAAAGCAAATGTACTTTTTCCCTCTAAACACATTACATTTAACTATGATACTAAGATATGTAAATAATTTGTAGCACCTACTGCTTGAACAAAGGAAGTTTTTGATTAAAATTAATTTTTTTTCCAAAACTTTGTTCTGCTGATCTCCCATACTGATGACTTAAAGAAAAACCATCCTGCAACTCATCTCCTTGCTTTTGGGTTTTGACTGTGGGTAACTGTGTGCCTGGGAAGAACACTCTCCTGTTCTGTATTTAATATTTTATTACATGCTATGAAAAGATACGAAGATCATCTGTTTGTAGCCCATCCTTCAAAAAACAATCTACTTAATCCAGTTTAAAACACACATCTTGATCTCTAAAAAGTTACCAGTGCAGTATGAACATGACAAAGTTGTCAATTTCCCCTAAATTAGCCAGTCAAAATATTTTTTTTTCTCAAATCCAGGTTCTCTTGTAAAAATTCTTTATATTTTATAAAAATAGATTTTTCTTGAAACCCATTTTCAGCAAAGAGACCACCTCTTTGGCAACATTGTTAATGTTATTTAAACTGTTATGTCATCAGGTATCCCCCCTTTTACCCTATCCCTAACAGAAGACTGTTTATTTCACATGATATAAAAGAAAAAAGGAAAAATAAAAAGAGTTGCAAAATTATGCTTTGTTTTGTTTTGCAATTTTTATTATTCCTCTTTAATTTATGCTGGGGGTTTACCAATCTGATTGAATCAAACATTTTGGAAAAAAGAGCAAAATCTGCTAATTCCAGTGGTTTGTAAAAATGATTTTAGGTTTTTCATTTTTTATTTTCAAATGAGTGAATGGTCATCTTAAAAAGATCCACCTTCAAGGAAGGTAGTAAAACTAGCTGGCCGGGTAAAAATCCCTGCACATTGTTATTTATGTATATTATATTCAACAACAACAGCTATGAAAGAACATTCAATGCATCAAAGATTTTTGTTTTTTTTCTAAGCATTATAAAATCCTTTTCCTGTTCACAAGATATCCAATGTTTAATACTTAGGCAACACTGGCTTATAAAAGTCCATGGTTGAGTATAAGCCTTGAAGAGTTTTTTTGTTTGTATATATATTTATATATTTATATATATTTATAATAATTATTATTAAGGATATGAAATTCAGGATTTATGGGTTTTGTTGGTTTTAAAGGAAACTTGCAATACTCTGTCTCCTAAGCGGTATCCATTAAGGCTGGCAATTGCCATAGCAGCTTCATCGTAGTTGGTCATGGTGACAAAGCCAAAACCTTTGCATTTGTTGGTATTGAAGTCGCGGATCACCTTGACATTATTGACTGCTCCAAAGGGGCCAAACAGCTGCCACAGCACACTTTCATCTGAGTCGGGTGATAAATTGTAGACAAAAATACACCATCCAGTCCCAGTATGGCCAGGAATATTCATTCCCACAAGGCTTGTCATCCCATCAATTGTGATTGGAGAAAACCTACCAGATTAATGTTGAAGAAAGAAAAAAGAAGACAAAAAGGAATACTAACCTAAAGATCAATTTTCAAGTATGAATTTTCATGAAACTAAATTCCAGAACTTTCCCCAAAGCCTGTGAATAATACATATAATATATCACAACCAGATATCCAAGTATTATTAAATATACCCCATGGAGAATATGGTGAAACTAAGGACCTCTACTTAAAAGGATACAGTGTGTTAACAAATAATAATAATAAAAATTCACTAAATGTTTTTGTATTTGTGAAAATGGCACATTGAATGTGTATATGCATATCCGTGTGCACATAAATTTACCCAATAAATGTACTGAAAACAATGAATAGCCTAGAAAGAACTATGGCATTTTTCAATTGGTCTCCCACCAAATGTGGTGCAAATTTGTGTAACAGAAATTTTCCCACTCAGAATAGTACATGTGTGCATGTGTGTGTTCATACACTAAAACTGATACTTGCTTGTTTTCTACCGTATACTAGATGTATTATTTACTACACCATCAACATAATAAAATTTAGTATTTCAAGTATCTAGAATAGTTCTTAGATTAAGATGATGAAGAGCTGTTCATGGATACCTACATCATATATAATCTTTAGATAATTTTTTTTCCGGTCCAGGAGCTCTGTATTATCTACTTCAAAACTTACCACATAAGGATAAGGTAGCCTGTAGTATCTAATCATGCAAAAAAACATCTCCAGAGCTACCCAGAAATCAAGGAGTAAAAAAAATATCTAATTATAAAGCTTGACAATGTTCAGGATATTTAAACACAATTGTTGCCCACATAAATTCAAGCACCATGTGGTAAGCTTTGAATTGGTCATCATATAGTTTAGTCATCTGAATTTAGTTTTAAACATACACAGTCAATTCTGAAGTTCAACACAGTTATCTGTGGAAAATCTGCTGCATAATAATGGTGTGATTTTTCTTGAAAATGTTCCCAGTTATATTCAGAATTCATGTTACTTTATTTTGTGTATTTATATCCTGTCTTTCCTCCAGGAACTCATCTCTCCCATTTTAAGCTCACAATTATTGGTGAAATGCAGTAGGCTAAAAGACAGCAATTGGTCCAAAGACACTAACTTCAAAGTTGGATAAGATTCCATATGTAGGTTTCCTGAGGGCTAGGAAGAGTCATTCATAGTAACTACAGCGTTGTACAATAAACTGGCAATATCTTCCTAATTTGTGACTGAACAACAATAATTCATGATTCAAATTAACTATAAATTGTGCTATATAACCTTGTTTCACTTCAGATCAATAAGAACAGTTGCTGTGATGCTAAGGATAAAGAACTAGAAAACCCATTGGAATTTTTAAAAAAGTAGCACTTCAATAATGGCATGAATAACATTTAACTAGAAAAATAATTCCACAAATATGGCCCCCAGAGGAATTCTTTTTTTCTTGTGGCGTAACCATAAACATAAGCACTGAGACAGAGAACTGAGATTATTTTTCCTTAAATAGTTTACCATTAGTAGAGTTTACTATTTTAATGCAAAACCAGCTTCTTTTAGATATCTTTTAATACGTATGTATTTTAACAACAATTATATGTTGACCTAAGTGAAACATGTTGTGTTGGGGGAATAAAATGCTATAGATAACTGTGGGCCAGAAAATCTCTCAAGAGTAACTACACAGTGACAACAAAATTAAGTTTTTAGTTGAACTGTAAATCCTAATGTCAATGAATAAGATATAAATTAGCATTCAAAATCATATTTACACTGCAACCAATATATGGCTGAGTAAAGCCAAATAACATGGATACATGACACAAATAAAAAAATAAGAGTGCATGAAAAAGTGATGAGAATTGTTCCCATTGAAACCTACCTATACCTAGTGGTAGTATTAGCTGGTGCACAAGGAGACAAAAAATTCAGGTATGATTGTTATATGGCTGGGTTGTTGCAGTCTGGGAACTGGAGAAAATATATTAGTTCAGCAATCATCAGCTTGGATATTAAGGCACTTAAGCCTGAAATCTGAGAGACTCAACTCAACTTCATTCCGTGGATCAGCTGCAAGGCATCAGAAAGCCCATAGTAGATATTCTGATTTTGATTTTGCCTTTAAATAAAGACTGTGACTGTGGCGGTTAGTGATGGAGTTGCTGGTCCCAATTGTGGTCGCTAAGTGAGGACTGCCTGTATATTTAACAGGTGTCTGAGGTTATTAACCACCTTGTTAACTGGTCCTACAATCAAACTGCTTTTACTTTTAGAAAACTTTCCTTGACATTCAGTCAGAAACTTTTTGTAAACCAATGTCTAAGATGTATACTCTAGCACAACAGAAAACAGATTTTGTCTTTCTGTGACTTAATCTCTTTAGTTATTTAAAAAGTGCTATCAGATTATTCCACAGTCATCCATTCTCAAAGCTCAAAACTTCAATTCTCAGCTTTTCGGCTAGGAATATAGCCAAATATAGTATCTAATATTCCTCAGCTTTTCTTCATAAGGTTTAGTTCTCAGGAACCTGACTATCCTTGTCTCTGATCTGCTCCTTGTGATGCCAATATATGAATACACTATTTGATGTGGAGTCTGACCAATGCAGAATATAGCAGAAATATTATTTATTATTCACTGGGCTTATATCCTGCCTTTCCTCAAAAGAATGTACATTCAGTCAAACATTTTTTTCCTTACAGCAACAACCCTTGTTCCTTTGAAGTGCTTTGTGATTAAGCAGCCTATGAATGGAATAAATAAAAATAAGTAAACCCAAATAAGAAGGCTATATTGAGAGATATGGCTAGCCCAAAGTCATCCATGGCTGAATTTGGATATCCCCTCTTCTAAATTAACATCTTAATAATATACTACTTCATGTGATTATTAGATCATCTGATTTGGCTATTTCTATTGATGAAGCATAAAATTGCTTTCACCTTTTAGCTGCTATGTCATTACAACTATGTGATTTTTATTTTCTGATCTTCAATCTAAGATCCTTTTAATGTTCCTATCAAGTCAAATGTTCCCAGTGCACGTCTTTTTTTTTTTTGTAAATTACATGTCTTGACTCAATTTCTCATTGTTATTTCTACTTCTCTAACTTACCAATTTTGAATTTTGTTTCTGTCTTCAAGTATATTAGCCATCCTACCCAGTTTTGTGTCAGAGGCAAATTTCACAAGCTTTCTTTCAATGAAAATGTTGAAGAGTGGTGCCCAAAAATGGAACCCTGTAGTACGTCCTCAGTTTCATGAGGAATAATCAATGAGCACTTTCTGAGCACAATTTTCTAAACATGTCAGTGTGTTCACACTGAGTAAACACGCTACTTCAAATGTAATTGAGAAGTTTGTCCAGTGCTTTGCTGACATACATATTTACCATGCTATTCCTTTTTGGGAAAAGTAATATTATGCAAAGCACAGAGAAAGAATAAAATAGAAGAGAATATATGTGGCTCAGGATTGAACTGTAGAATCCTTGCAGTTCTCTGAGCTTGGTTGTTTTCTTGTAGATGTTTCATTACCCAACTAGGTAACATCTTCAGTGCTAGAGGGACTGAAGTGTTACCTTCTAGCACCGAAGATGTTACATAGTTGGGTAATGAAACATCTGCAAGAAAGCAACCAAGCTCAGCGAACCCAAAGGACTCTAAAGAATAAAAAGGAAGAAGGATATAAGATAAATAAAATTTACACCAACAGCATTCACTGTACCTCTCCATACATTTCTGTCCTTGCAAACCATGCTTGCTTCCAATAAAAACACACACTAATTCATACCATAGTTGGGTAATGAAACATCTGCAAGAAAGCAACCAAGCTCAGCGAACCCAAAGGACTCTAAAGAATAAAAAGGAAGAAGGATATAAGATAAATAAAATTTACACCAACAGCATTCACTGTACCTCTCCATACATTTCTGTCCTTGCAAACCATGCTTGCTTCCAATAAAAACACACACTAATTCATACGTTGCCATTTGTTCTTTAAACTTATTATCTCTCTTTTGAAGATCTCATCAACTCTTGGTCTTGCCTTCCTTTCAGCCTGTTGCATTGCTTCAACCATTCTCTTTCTCTGACCAAATAACATCAATATATTTCTCTGGTACTGATAACTCACTTTTGTATTCAATCCA